TATTTAGTGTAATTGTCTCTATGACTGGGTTTTAACCTACCATCTTGCTATTTATTTTCTCCTGTCCTGCCTATTCTTTGTTCCATTTTCTTCTTGCCCTGTCTTATTTTAGAGTGAATATTTAAATGCCCATTTAGTTCTTTTGGCCATTGATTGACTGGGTTAGTTGTTTTTGGTGTTAAGTTTTTCTGAGTGCTTTGTGTGTTCTGGACATTAATCCTCTGTCAGAAGAGCAGATGGCAAAGATCTTCTTCCATCCTGTGGGCTCTCTCTTCATTCTCCAATTTCCTTTGCTGTGCAGAAGCTTTTTAATTTGATGCCTTCCAATTTGTTAACTCTTGGCATTGTGTCCTGAGCTTTAGAGATCTTGTTAAGGAAGTCACTGTCTGCACCAATATGTTTGAGAGTGGAGCCTGTTTTCTTCTAGAAGTTGCTAAGTTTCTGGTCTATTTCTTAGGTCTTCGATGCACTTTGAGTTGACTTTTGTGCGGGGCAAAAGATAGGCATATACATAGAAGAATGTAGAAAAATTAAATGATTTTATTTCTATGATTGTCTTATCATCTTATCTTACTGTTTTCTTTTTCTAATGGTTACTCTTGGGTTTACCATATACATATTTAACCTTCCACGACTGACCTTCAAATAACCTTGCAACACTTAACATACAACATAAGCATCTGACAACAGAATAGTCCATGTTCACGCTTTTGCCATTTTTCTTCCACATTACTACGATCTCTACAATATGCCTGCACTATTACAGATATAAAAATTAAGGGTTTTTTAATTTTATTTCGTATTTAACACATTTTTACCAAATCCAACACTTTTCATCTCCTTGTATAGGTCCAGATTTCCATCTGGTATAATTTACCTTCTACCCTAGGAACTTCCTTTGGAATTTCTCTCAGTTCAAGTTTGTTGGCCATGAATTCTCTAAGTCCTGGCTCATCTGAAAAAGTTCTTATTTGGCTTTCATTTTTTAAAAGATATGTTCACTGTGCATAAATTTTAAGATGGTGGGTTTTTCTCGAAAGATATGCTGCATTTTCTTCTGGCTCGTATAGTTTTTGATCAGAAGTCTTTCCTCGTCCTTACTGTTTATCCTGGTCCACCTGGTTCTTGTTCTCCGGATGCCCTTCAAGATTTTCTTTCTTTTTGCTTTTGCGGCCACACGTCCATGATGGGACGGGGTGTGTTTTATTTAGATGCATCCTTCCGGGTTTGGCAGAGCTCCTTGGATCTATGGTTTGTTCTTTTAATAATTTAGGAAAAGTTTTAGCCATTATCTCTTCAATGTCACTCTTTTATTTCTGTTGTTTTTCTGTTTCTATTTCTGTATCTTCTCTGCCCTCTCTACTCCCAAGACTCCAATGACGTACATATTGGAATATTGACTTTTGTCAATATTTAATTTTCACTCTTGCTCTTCATGTCAGTTACAGTTTACATGTTGAAAGTCCCCTGCAAAGCCCCTGTGTTAAGGGCTTTCTATCCAGGGTGGTGCTCTGGGAGGTGATGGAAATTTGAGAGATGGGGTCTACTCAGGGGAGACTATGGGATTTGATCCTTTCCTCCTTTCTTTTTTCTTTCGATCTCTTACTCGTGATGTAAGCAGTTTTGCTTGTCACGTCCACCTACCATGATGTGCTGCTTTGCCACAGGCCCAAAGTAATGGAGTCAATGCATCATGTCTTCTAATTCTGATTTTTTAACTTCTAAAACTGTGAGTCAAAGGTAACCTTTTTCTCTTCATAAGTTTTTATCTCAGGTATTTTGTTACAGTATTGGAAGGCTGAATAACACAGTGTTTCAACCAGGGTAATCTATATTGCTCTATCTTCAGGTTTACTGAGCTTTACTTGGCTGGGTCTGGTTTGCTGATAAATCCATTGAAAGATTTCTTCATCGCTGATATGGAGTTTTCATTTCCATCACTTTTACTTGGCCATCCTTAGTAGTTTCTATTGCCTCCTACAATTTCCCGTATGTTCTTGGAATTCATTTTTCTCACTACATCTTTTATGTCTCAATAATGGCTTCCTTTTCTTCCTTCCTTCCTTCCTTTCTTTCTTTCTTTTCTTTTCTTTTTCTTCCTTCCCTCACTCCCCCTTTTCCCTCCTTCATTCCTTTCTTTCTTTCTTCTTTTCATGCTGCAGATTGAAACTAGGGCCTAAGCCAGCAACCACTCTACCACTGAGTTACCTCCCCAGTCCTGGGTCCCTTTTTATTTATTTATTTTTTAAGTGGAGTTAGGGACTGAATGCAGGGATATCCCACCACTGCCCTTATTTATTTGAGACAGGGTCTCTCCCAGTTGCCCAGGCTGGCCTTGGGCGATGGTCCTGTCTCAGCCTCTCCAGTAGCTGGGATTACAGCTGGGTGCCCTGCACCTGGCTAGCCCAGGCCTCTTCTTTTACTTGGTTTTATTATGTGCCACGGAGTCCCTGACTGACCTCCAGGCACTGAGCATAAGAGGACAGTAGTGGATGAGTCAAACCATATTTATTCCTAGAAATGGGCATATTTTGTATCTGTGGCTTTAGTAGAGGGCATTGAGTTGATCGAGTCTGTGGTTGATTCAGGTTTTTCGTTGCCATAGTTACCGTCTGCGCACCAAGGCTGTTACTTTGTGCTGAGCACCGGGGCTTGAGTCCCCGGGGATTTTCTCGGTGTCCCTGTTTGGTGCTCAGCTTTGCACAATGTGACACCGACGGGCTCTCCGTCCGGGTTCTAGCTCCTTCCCCAGCTTAGTCTGCGGTTGCTGGTCCCCTGGTGCAAGTTCTGTGGTGGGGGCGGCGGCTTCTTGTTCTCCTGCTCTAGTTTCGGTCTTAGACATTCAGACGAGAGCCCAGGAGGGGGACTGGCCAGTGTTCCTGTTTTTCTCCAAACTCAGTGCAGGTGCGGGAGTGCAGGCAGACTTCCTGTCCCCCACCCCAGGGAGCCACCTGGGCCTGATGGGTGGGAGGTCCTGAGCCGCTGGGGGCCTGCTCCCGCCCCTGCCTGACAGTCAGGATGCCGGCGCCGGTGGCTGTCCTGCTCCGGCCAGTGTCCAGAGGCTCTTACCATCCATGCAGGGTGGGGGCGGGGCAGTTTCTGTTCTTGCCCGAGAGGGACCCGGTGTGGGAGTCTCCCAGGAGAGCCAGGTCCCCAAGGCACCGGCACCACCTTGAACTCCGCAGACCCAGAGCTCAGGCGGCACTGCTGCCGCCTCCCTGGGTCCTTGGCAGGTCCTGCGTGCCCTTGTCACCACGGGGCCTCTCTCAGGCCCCGCCCCTTCCCATCAGTCTCATCTGCTCCCTGGGGAGGACTGAGGGAGGGACTGTCTGGAGGTCTGGACCCCTTTTATTTATTTATGTATGTATTTAATAAATGTATAACTAAGTTTTTTTTTTTTTTTTTGGTAGTTGTAGATGGACAGCATGCCTTTATTTTATTTTTATGTGGTGCTAAGGATCGAACCCAGTGCCTCCTACGTGCTAGGCAAGTGCTCTGCCACTGAGCTGTAGCCCCAGCCCTGAACTCCTTTGAAATCTGGATCTCCCGGGATGCTAAGCTGCCACTCTAGCCATGAAGAATTCATTGAGACAGGAGGATAGCAAGGTCGAGGCCAGCCTGGGCTACTTAGCCAGACTCTTGTCTCTAATTAAAAAAATATAAGAAGCTCGGGAGGCTGAGGCAGGAGGGTTGCGAGTTCAAAGCCAGCCTCAGCAATTTTAGCAGGGACATAGAGCATCCCTGGGTTCAATCCCCAGTTCTGGAAAAAAAAATTCTTCCAGATATGGATTGTTTTCTTCTGGTCTCCTCTTGGGCAACTGTGCTTTCTCCGCAGAGTGTAGAAAGGGGAAAGAGTTCCTCTCCATGGCACCTGGGCACCACCTTGAACCTGTGTTCCAAATACTCTCAGAAACCAGCTCGGTGGGTTGCCCTGGACCTCAGCCCTCGAAGGGCTCAACAATGGATCAGTAAATTGTTCAGCTTTTTTCCACCGTCACGGTGGAGTGACATTCTCTTGTGGCTCTCTATATCCAAAGTGGAAATCATTTTAGTATGCCTTTTACACAAGGAGAAACAACCTTCCTGTTCAGTGTTGCTATGACGACTATATAAATCTTAGTTCTTGGAGGAATCCCTTCTGGAGCCTTCTTTTTCCCTGCCCCTCGGGACAGGGTGTGCCCCAGTCGAACCCAGGGCCTCGCATGTGCTAGGCGGGCTCTCTACCGCAGAGCCACAACCCCAGCCACCCCGCCCATCCTGTTCTTAACCATCAGCCTCTTGGCACAGTTTCTGGGGAGCAGCTTCACCGGTCCTGCGGTGGGGATTCCTGTACATCGTGTATTCTTTTGTGGTTCGCTTCCTCATTTGGTTGGGGTGCATCCTCCAACAACTTTCTGAGAAAGGGCGCCTGTGTTGAAATATCTAGTAAGCCTTGTTGGGACGATTTACATTTAAGAGTGGAGCACTAAAAACTCCATTGCTTGTCTGGGCTTGGGGACGGGGAGAGCTTTCCCATCAGTTAGATCTTGGCCATTTCATTGAGGAACACCGAAATGCTGGTAGCCCTAGGATACTCTCCTTGGAACAGTCAGTTTAAGCAGTTTCTTGGTTCCTGTTAGAAGATCCTGACCCAGGGCAAGTTAATGTCAGGAAGGGACTGACTTAGATGTTGCTTGTTCCCAGTTCCCCCTGGATGAGGTGGGGGCCTCTACAGAGTCCCCAGAGAGTCCACTTTATGGGAGGGGTGTCTCAGGCGGAGCTGTGGATGGCAGCTGTTACCCAGTGATCAAACATTCTGGAGTCACAGAGACCCTGCTTCAGGCACCTTCAAGCAAAGCGAGACCCCGCCCTCCCAGCCTCAGCCTCCTCATCTGAAACGCAGGCGTAGTGAGGAGCTAAGAAGATGCTGCAGGTCCCAACCCCGGGACATGCCAGGCTCCTGGAAGAAGTCAGAGGTGGCTCTTTTACCACATTGATGGTGGTATGTGCACGTTTTCCAGGGCAGGAGCTACTTTTGGAGAGACCTGGCCACAGGGCATGGATGGCTGCAGGACCCTTTTCGTCTGCCTGTGCTTTCTGATTTCTCAGGGCAGGATCTCAGGTAAGAAGGCTCCGCTGGCTGGGTCAGACCCCATCAAGGCCCAGGGCTGTGCTGTGGAAGGCCGAGGGCTCGAACCCAGGCAGATGGAAAGGGGGCCACTCGTCCTCTTGGGGGCAGCAGCTTGGGTGAGTCTCTGGCTGGGGATGTGAGGTCCAGAGGCCTGCCAGGGGGCAGCTGAGGGTGCAGGCTGAGGGGGAGGACGGTCTCGCCCCCCCATAGAGACAGAGCAAGAACTCCTGAGCTGGATGCGGAACATGGAGCAGGCCAAGGGCCGGAAGCTGACTTCTCCTGCTCGGTGAGTGGTGTCCAGCTGAACCTCTCGGTCAACTGTGCTCCTGCCCCAACTGTACCTCGAATTAGTGCCCAGGCCTGGTCCAGTGCGGACTCTCTCCTTCTTTCTTTTCTTGTGGTGCTGAGTGTTGAATCCGGGGCCTTGCACAAGCTAGGCAAGTCCTGTATCACCGAGCAACATCGAGACAGGGCCTTGCCAAGTTGCTGTGACTAGCCTTAAATTTGCAATCCTCCTGCCTCAGCCTCCTGAGTTGCTGGAATTATAGGCCTGCACCGCGGTGCCAGCCCAGGGTAGACTCTTAACTGCATTTGTCAGGTTGTGTTTATCGAGAAACCACTGTGTGCCTGACGCTAGGTTCTGGAGATGGAAAAGAGACATGTCCCTGCCCTCCTGGAGTGTTTTGTCTAGGACAGGGGCCCTTAACCATAGATGTCATAAAACCAAGTGGGTCTCTGCCTTTTCCTAGGCAGGGACTCTAGGACTGTGGCTGGAGCCTCCATGGTCTGTGACTCAGTGACCAAGCAGCTCTGGGTGAGAGGTCAATGCTGGTGACTGACAAGGGCTAAGAGCTGCCACTAGGAAGCACAGAGATACATCTCTCATTAGGGGGAGCAGTCAGGGAAGGCTTCCTGGAGGTGGTGACAACAAACTGGGACCTGAAGAGGAGTCAAGTAGGAGAAGGAGATGGGTGGAAAGCCAAGGTCAGGGTGTGACAGGGACACTGCAATGGTCTGAAGTGGGAGTGACAGGCTGGGGCACGGGAGACCCTGCACTCGCAGGCCACCCACAGCTCTCTTTTGCCCCCTGGCCGCGTGTCTGGCCCTCAGGCAGGTGGAGGGCCTGGAGCAGAGGCTGCTGAATGCCAGCTTCTACGGCGACAACCTGACCCTGGAGACGCGCACCATCCAGTCTCTGATCTTCAAGCTGGGCTGCGACTTTGCTGGCCTCGCACTGAGCAGCCACACTCTGGAGCAGGTCTCACAGGTCAGAGGTGGCCGGGAGAAGGGGTGGCCCGAAGTCCTGTGGGAGTTGAAGGTCTGCACTGTCCCCAGGCTCCGCGGCCTGGCCCCAGCCCAGGCGCCGCCCCGAGTGGCTGAAGCTGCCTCCTCTGTAAACTGGGAGCGTGGGCACAGCAGGAGGGGAGGTGTCTTCGTCCCCCTTTGCCCGAGTCAGATGGAGGTGTGTCCCTCGGGTGGCAGCGTTGGGAGAGGCCAGGGAACCTGGCTCCGCTAGTACCTGTGTGATCCTGGCTGGATGCCTGGTTGGTACGGTGCTGACCTGGCTCCATGCTCAGGGACCTCAGTTGGGTGCGGTCCAGAACCCAAGCTCGAGGCTGGAGCCCCTGATGGACGCTGGGCCCTGGGGCCGGGGGAGGGGCAGTCCGAGCTTTGCCAATGGAGGCCCCGGAAAGGAACTGCAGAGGGTGAGGCCCGGAAGGTTTGGTGGGGAGTGGGGACAGCAAAGGCACTGGGGCAGGCCCGCAGGCCCTGGACACCGGGCTCAGCCTGCCTGTGGCCCTCCGCAGGCCCGGGTCCCGCACGCCATGCAGTTCCCCGCAGAGCTGACCCGAGAGGCCTGCGCTGCCCGGCCCCGGGAGCTGCGGCTCATCTGCGTCTACTTCTTCACGACCTACTTTTTCCAGGTCAGCAGGTGGTGGGTGGAGGAGGGCAGGTGCCAGCCCCTTTCTGGGGACACTGCAGGCCACTCCTGGCCTCTGAGTGGGGACCAGCCCACAGTGCAACCTTGGCCTGCCACTGGCCCTTACTGGGCCTCAGTTTCCCAACAAGCTGTAGGGAGGTGCCCTCACAATCTGCAAATTAAACCTAAGCAGGCTCGTAGGTGTGCGCCTGTGTGAGAGACAGACACTGAGGCACAAGGTCCCTGCCCTCGAGAACCCTGTCTCCACACCTGGACTTTGGGGATTTGTTGGGTGCAGTGGTGCACACCTGTAATCCCAGCGGCCAAGGAGGCTGAGGCAGGAGGATCGCGAGTGAAAACCAGCCTCAGCCAAAGCGAGGTGTTTAGCAACTCAGTGAGACCCTGTCTCTAAATACAAAATAGGGCTGCGATGTGGCTCAGTGGTCAAGTGCCCCTGAGTTCAATCCCGCGTACCCCCCACCCACCCCGCAAAAAAAAAAAAAAGATCTTAGTGATTCAATGTTAGCGTGAGGTTGATGACAACCACAAAATGACGGATGAATGAAGATGGAGGCAAAGTTTTCCCAAGGGACAGTGCCAGGGGAATCTAGAGAAGGTGCCACTCAACCTTGTCTTTGAAATGGAGGATAGGTGTGAGGTGAGGGCTGGAGGGTGGAATGCGTTAAACAAATGGGCAGCGCGCCCCCTGGTGGTGGGTGAGAGGATAGCCCCAGGTGGTGGGAGGAGGGGCTGGGAAAGAGGGCTCCGGTCTCCCCTGGGCCCTCAGCCCTTGGTCTGTCCGCTGTCCTTCCAGGATGAAAGCAACTCATCCCTGCTCAACAACTATGTCCTGGGGGCCCAGCTGGACCACAGCCACGTGGACAACCTCACCGAGCCAGTCAACATCAGCTTCTGGCACAACCAGAGCTTGGTACTGTTGGAGTACCCCCCTTTCCACCCCACCCCTGCCCCTCTGTGGGTCTCCTGTTGAACACTGGTTTGACCAAACTCAAACCTGAGGAGCCGTCACATTCTGAAAATTCCTACTAAGGAGATGAGAAACTTTCACTCATTGCATTCTTCAGGATTCTTTCTGTTGCTAATGATAGAAGACCACCTCAAGCCCGCTTAAGCACAAAAGGGAATTCTTGGCTCACGACATGTCCAGGGGTGATCCACCTTCAGACATGGCTGGATCCAGGGACTGACACAGTACTCTTATGGGTCAGTCTCTCTCCATCTCTCAGCAATTGTTTCCTGCCTTGGCAAGACGGGTGCTAATCAGGCAGGTGCTAATCAGGCGGGCTTCCTTTCCCTCTTTCCAGAGGGTCTACCTTACCAGTGCCAATCAGGATCCAGGGTCCTAAAGGTTCAGCTGGGTCATGTGTCCATCCCTGAACCAGTCTCTGTGCCCAGGGGGATGGAACGTGTGGATTGGCCCCACCTGGGTCACGTGGGGTGGAGGAGTGAAAACCCTCGTAGTGGAATAGGGGGAAGGGCTGCCAGGTGGACACAGCCCAGTGCCCTGTTTCCCTGTCCCTGTCCTTGCTGAAAAGCTCGGAGCCCTGTCCTCTGGCTCCATGTCCCTGCGGCTTCACCAGAAGTGCCCTGGACCTTCCTTCCCTGCTCAGGGCAGTTCCCTCCCCCTGGAGCAAACGCCCTACCTCCAGTGTCGTGGAAATCGGGCTGGAGGCCTCGGTGCCCCGCCTCTGGCCCTTCCTCTGCGGTCTCCAAGGCACTGCCCAGTGTGGCTGGAATGAGTCTCTCCCCCTCTGGGCCTGGGTCTGGGTCATCTGTGGCCCTCACCAGTGGGAGATAGGGGACCACTGGCCATGCCAGAGGCCAGAGCTGGGCCTCAGGAGGCCCCGCAGGCTTTCATTTTGCACCAGCCTCGTAACCTGGGCATGAACGACCCTATTTTGCAGACAAGCAGACTGAGGCTCAGAGAAGCCTAGCGTCTTGCCCAGGTCCCTCTGAGAGTCCCTGGTGGGTGTGTGGTCGGCATCTGGGACTGTCCCATGCCCAAGGTCGGCCCGTGCCCCGTACGTGTTGGAGGGAGGCAGCGGAGCCTGCTTTGCCCCCGGGACGCTCAGACCCTGAAGTCTGGCCCCTCGCTGCCCCCCCCGGGACTGACCCAGCATCTCCCCTCAGGAAGGCTACACGTTGACCTGTGTCTTCTGGAAGAAGGGAGCCAGCAAGCACCACTGGGGGGCCTGGAGCCCCGAGGGCTGCCGCACAGAGCAGCCCTCCCCCTCCCAGGTGCTCTGCCACTGCAACCACCTCACCTACTTTGCTGTTCTCATGGTACGTGTGCATCCAGGATGGGCGAGGGAGTCAGAGCCACACAGGGCTCCATGCCCCTGGCAGAGGGGCAAGGCAAAAGCTGGTATAAGGGAAAGAAAATCCAACTCAAGTGGGCTTAAACCACACACACACACACAAAGAAACTTAGGGGCTCATGTTCCTGAAAAGGTTGGGCTATGGAGGCTTCAGGCATGGCTTGGTCCAGGAACTGAATAGCACTGAGACAGGATTCTCTCTCTGTTCTTCAACTGTGTTTGATCCGTGCTGGCTTGGCCCTCCAACAGGGTCTCCCCACTGGATAATAGGGCTGCCAGCAATTCCTGGCTCATGCCCTGGGAGCTTTCAGGCCAGTGGAATAAAAGCCTTTCTTACCCAATTCTGCCAACTAGTCTTGGGACTGAATCCTGTGGCTTGATGTGTATCATGTGCTCATCCCTTGAGCCAATTGCTACGGGCAGGAGGAGGAAGGCTCGGATAGGCCAGGCCTGGTAGCCCGTCCACACATGGGGTGGGAGAAGTGGGGCCCCTTCCCACAGGGGCACAGAGAATGGGGGAGGGGTATTTGCATGGGGGGGATGGGAGTTTCTGGGGGAAAGTCACTACATCTGCCAGGGTGGCTGGGCTTGCGGGGAAGGGACCCTCCGTCAAGGTCCGGGAAGGGCAAGTCCACTCTCCGGCTCCAGCCCCCTCCCTCCCGCAGCAACTCTCGCCGGCCCCGCTCCCCGAGGAGCTGCAGGCCCCCCTTGAGTACCTGTCCCTCGTGGGCTGCAGCATCTCCGTGGTGGCCTCGCTGCTCACCATCGTGCTGCACCTCTATGCCAGGTATGCCCCTGCCTCCGCGCCCAGTCCGTCCCCGTCTGCTCGGCTTCCTCCTGGTCCCCACCCGGTCTCCTAGGGCGGGGCCAGGAGGCAGGGGTCACAGCGCACGCAGTGGCATCACTGTGCCGCCCAGCGGGTGGCGCTGCCTGGTGACATCCCGCCCGTGCTCCCACCCCAGGAAGCTGAGTGACGCCGTCACGCACATCCACATGAACCTGCAGGGCTCCGTGCTGCTCCTGAACGTGGCCTTCCTTCTGAGCGCCACGGCGGCCGTGGCCCCGGTGCCTGGGCCCGCGTGCTCGGCCCTGGCGGCCACGCTCCACTTCGCGCTGCTCAGCTGCCAAACCTGGACGGCCATCGAGGGCTTCAACCTCTACCTTCTCCTCGGGCGCGTCTACAACGTCTACATCCGCAGATACGCGCTCAAGCTGGGCGCCCTGGGCTGGGGTGAGCTGGCCTGCCCACTTAGGGGTCAGCGGGCCCAAGTGGCCGCTCTGCCACCCCAGTGTCTCTGTCAACACACACAGTGCACCGCTATCTCATCACCATCTGCACCTCCACCTCCACAGTCAGCCCCACCAACTCCTCTAACCACCATTACTACCTCCACATCACCTCCTCCAGCTCCACCAGTATCATCTCCATCAGCACTATCACCTCCACCTTCAACCCACCATTACTACTACCACCACATCACCACCTCCAGCTTCACCTCCAACACACCATCACCA